ACAAGCTGTAATCATCCATGTTGGACTGTAGTTCTTTCTGTTAGTGTTCACTATTTACACTGTCAGCCTCACAGATGTTGCAAAATACTTTTCCGTGCTCTCTCTCTCTCTCTCTCTCTCTCTCTCTCTCTCTCACACACACAGAGCACACATGCTTTGGTAAACAAACATGGGCTGGACACTGGGGGTCAAAGGTTGAATCCACAAGAGAAAACGCAAAGGGAGAGAACATTTTGTGATCTTCTGACATGATGAAATAACAGCACGGGGAGTTCAGTTGGCAGCCATCACCTACAAACCCTCGTCTTTTTCCACACACAGGAAGTTCAATATAACTACTAGCGCATGTCTTAGTATTCAGGATGAAAGAGCAGCAAAGTAACTGCAGGTGCTCTGGATGTATAACCTTCTTCATTTTTGACCTATTTTCCTCTAAATTTAGTTGTCCATCTGTCAATTCACAAAATCATCTGTTTGGCTGCTGTCACTTTCACACATTGTATGGTGTGTGTGTAGCTCTTTGTGTGTTTCAGGGTCTTTGCATGAGGCAGTCTCTTGCATAACTAAGGGCTACAGGATATCCGAGAGTGCACCTTGAGCACACCCCACCTCTCTGATTTTCCTAGCTCCTCTTTGGCCTTGGCTTACGGTCAAGGACCCACATGACTCCAGCCATAACGCGCACTGCAGAGTATCTGCAATCAATGACAATACACTCCATAACACCCACCTGGATCGATAATACAGCAGTCAGTCAATATGCCAGCAGTTAACCCAACTGATTGGGGGTAATACAGGGAATTTCACATCTCCCTGAATAGGACCGTGAGCGTACATGTTGTTAGACAGCACAGTCGAGCAGGTCTTCCTGAAAAATTCAATCTGTCAACATGCACCTAGTTTGCATTCTCTGATCTGTGGCAGACAGATGATACCTTTAGTGGGGGGATTCTGTCGAGCTATTAAATGTGTTGAACAGAGCGGTGCTGATGGACAGAGTTTATCCATTGGTGACTGGCTTTTTAATTGGGCCCCCCCACCACCACCACAACCTGCACTGATCTCTATCAGCCCTTGGACTGTGTCTTTGGGTGGGGGTTGAGCCATTGAAGTAATTAGATTAGTAGCAGTGGCTTGAAGTGGTTGCGGGAGAAACATCTGGGATGCACCGTATCATATTGTTCATGATAATACAAGTATTGTTTTTAATGTGATTATATATGATTGTTAAGAGAAGACAGCAAACTTACTGTATTTCATCATCTCAAGCTGAAACACCTGGTATGAGAAGAGCCAGAGATCATAAGTGGAGACAACAACATAAGCCAAACTGCACTGACACATCGTGCATGTCTGAATTACTGTGACTATCCAACCAAGGAAAACAACAGGTTCAGCTGTTTCAGCAAATACCCCCAAAACTACATATGTTTAAATAATGAAGCCCTCTACTGGCTGAAGGAATTATGATTATATTATGTTAGTTGCGAGCAAAGGAGGATGTAGTGAGTTGCAAAGTCCACAGTGGGAGAAGTTCAGGGTGGAGGGATCAGGCAACAAAGCATCAGACTCCAACACAGGAGATCACTGTTTTCTACAGACAGTCAACACTGGCTTTTTTAATCATGCCCAAGGTCATTCCTTAACCATAAAGCTACAGTAAGTAACTTTGCTAATATTTTTATTGTAGAAATATGCTCCTTAACTCGTCTTAATGTGGAGAGGTGCTGTCGAAGCCTCCTGTGACCCAGACTCATTGAACAGCACTGGCAGCAGCAGAGACATTAGCATCTAAAAGGTTTTGAGCAGGACTGACCTCTCTATAACCGATCAGAGATTCTCAATTATTTCTGCTTGATCAGTAAGTTTTGTTGCATTCTCATGTCTTCTAATTTCATAATGAGAAATATCTGAAGAGCTGGGCAGAGCGTGGTATAACAGCAGATCATAGTAGAGCATAGTGGAGCAGAGAGCGGGAGTGGTGGGCGGAGCAGAGTGCCTCGATTTGGAATTTCATGCTAGTGCTACCTTAAGTTACATACTGTAGCTTTAACCTATTCATTTTTATTGTAAACATGACATTGAAGGTCCCCTAACCTTAACAAAGCATTTGTCATTTTACCACAAATCATGATCTTTCTCTAAAATAAGGCAAATTGTTTTTGTGCCTAAATCCAACTAAACCTTCACCATAGCATTCAGGCACTGACAATGAATGTCGACATGCAGCATGTCAAGTCTTTGCTTAGTTAAAGATGCCAAGCCAACCCTCACTAAAAACTGTATAGAAAATGATGCGAGAAGACAGCAGTTCCAGGTGGGAATTACAAATAACTTTTCTGATTCAACTCGTTTTGTTATGTCCTATTGAAAGATCTGTAGTCACTTTCTGTTTATTACGTCACTTTTCAAATGCACTTCATTCATTTTCATCAACAAGTGAAAAGCATTAATACTACTGTGATGTTCAGCCAATGATGCATGAAATTTTTGTATAATATGATGTCATGGGGTAGGACTGGATAAGTCTGACTTCTTCCTACTCCATTCAAACATGTACCAGGTGCAAGCAAACTGATTTTGGATTAGCATTGGTTGGATATGGGTAATTATGTGTGTGTGTGTTGCTGTCATTTGTTCTGTTCTGCATGTTTGAAAGAATAAATCAAATCAAATCAAATCAATCAGTGTTGATTCTGATCGTTTTCAGTACAGCTTTACATTCAGTCTGTTGTTTGCCCCAAATAAATGCTATCGACTGTATCTGGATTAATAGCTCAGCAGCCATTTATTTGCCACAGAGTTATCACATCACGATTGTTTCTGTGTTGACATGTAGTTCAGTGTTGCAGCTAATAATGTTAAAGTATTCGTCTGCATTTCATCACATCATCATGAGTATTATTGAAATATAATACCCTGCAAAATTATGATATTGTCTGATAATATCATCCTGATTTGATCTTCAGTGCCACAAAATACATGTACCAGCCACTTTATTAGGTACAGCTGTACAACTGTATGCTCTTCAATGCATCACTTCTGGCTTAACATCTGCATTTATGAAGCTCAAAATGTTTGTTTTTGGTGAAATTGTCATAAATGTATAAATTCAGTTATGTGTTTATTATTGAGGTCATAGCTAAAGGTGGTGCTGTAGTGGACTACATTATATTCAGAGGTGTTCCTAATATTCTGACCCTCTCATGTATGAAGCTGGGAGGACAACAATATAGAGGCACCTCTGAATATAATATAGTCCAGTACAACACCATCTTTAACTATGACCTCAATAATAATTGAATTTATGCATTTATGACAATTTCACCAAAACCCGAAACATTCTAAGCTTCATAAACCCAGATGTTAAGGTGGAAGTGTTGAATTAAAGTGCATTTCATTGTACAGGTGTCTATGAAGGTGGCCAGTGTATTTGTATGTTCTTTCCAAAAGAGATGGCAGCCAGACTTGCTTGGAGTTACTGAACATGTTTCACTTCTCATCCGAGAGACTAACCACCAAACAAGACCAGCTGCCATCTAATAGCACTTCATGACACCTGGATGGCTGAGAAGCTCCACAGACTTTATGTTGCCTGTTTCTGAGATCCAACATGATTCTTCTTCACTGTTCATGCACAGAGTTCTGCAGAGTCTACTCTGCAGCCTGCTTACTCATGAGCAGGGAGAAGGCCCCTTTGTAAATGGGCTTAAGTGAGAGTTTAAATGGGCACTAATCTCAATCGCTGCACATCCGTGAGCTGCAGGGGGTCTTATCCATACACACATAACCCTACCAGCCACTTTTATTTTCTTTTTTGGGGGGTGGCACCCCCATTTAAACACACACACACACACAAATAACAAACTCCCTTCGGCTGTCATACAGTTAAAGGCGAGGCAGGGCCCCTCCACGACACAGGGGTAAAGTCACAGAGGTCAGTGCTCAGTTTCCACATCAAACCCTGGAGCAGAGGCCAGAGTCTCATCCCCCTCCCACCTTTCTCTCTCCCTCCCACTCTCTCCTCTCTCTTGCTCCCTCCCTCCCCTCCTCCTGTTCCCCTTCGCAGGATGTACAAATGCCTTTGCTGTCAGCTCTGCTCCGGTCCCCTGTAATTGAAAATAACAGCCAAGGGCCAGCCCCCGGCCACTCTCCCCAGCCTGGTGGCTCTCTGCCTTTCTGACAGCCACCCATCAATACCAATGGGTATTACCCTGGAAGTGAGAGTGCTGCCAGTGACATCCAAGACACCACCCTTGCAACACTCCCACACACACACACACACACACACACCTCCCCCCCAGTGTCCTTCCTCCGCTACACCAGCCTCCTCCTAATGTTTAACCCATTGCTAACGCCTCGTCTGTCTCTAAGTTTCTACAGTAGGCTACGGTAGGCAAACAAGCCTGTCTCACACATACACACCACGGTGCTTTGCACAAATGCACACCCACACACAACTCTCTTAAGACATGCACAAAACTCTGACAAGCAGCAAACTTTCCAGCGAGAAGTGCTGAGAGAGGGGTTGGTGTGGTGCTGTCTCACTTAACACTCTCATATTCCCCACCAAGACATTCACTCAGTGTTGTTCTACAACACTCCTACACTGCTAAGCTGGGATGTTTGGAACACACTTTAGAGGTAAATAAGTGAGACATGAGAGATTTCACAACCGGAGCCGGCACTGTAAAGTCAGGTGTCGCCCGTGCCCACAGTCATTCAAGTGTATAATCACTTTTTTCTCTGTCTCTTGTCATGACAACTTGTGAATTTACACTGGGAGTCGGTGTCCAGCCAGCAGCATGCAGGGTCTCGTTTCCCCCCGCTGACAGACACCACACACAATGCCATACAGATGATATGAGTTGTCATCCGCTTTGACAGAGCAATGACAGCTGAACGAGACGCGCTGAAGACAAGCACAAAGCCAAGCAACGTGACAAATGAAGTACACAGCGGCAGCCAGCAGAGGAACAGGACGAGAAAATTGCACAGACCTTGTCAGGAGCTGCAGAGCCGTGGAGACTAGGAGACTGCTTTCCTTTCTACAGTCCTCTCTGTCTCCTCTCCTCCTCTCCCTCTCCTCTCCTCTTCGCTCCTCTCACTCTGAGTGTATGTACGTGTGTATGATTGTGTGTGTGTGTGTGTGTGTGTGTGAGTGAGTGAAAGATTGTAAGTGGATGTGAGTGAGCAGCTCCCTCCCCTTCTGCCTCTCAGCTGCTCAGCTTAGGCAGTTCTCAGGAAATGAATGGGAGCGCACAGAGAGCTGTTGTACTTGCAAATGACTTACCCCGAGTCACATGATCCGCTAAATGTAGGGTGGGCCGGTAGGTGGAGGCTTCATAAGCAAAGGCAAGACAATATACTCTAAGCTTTAACAGCATGCATCGAATTACACGGGGCCCCTCCGGGGAGGTTTCCGACGCGTCCGCTCCCAATAAGCCCGGACTCACTGTGCACCCCGCGCAGAGCGCAGCGGTGAGCCCCGTGCTGCGGGTCAGCACCGGAGCACCTCCCCGTTTAAAGGGACGGAGAGGAAGGTGTGCGGAAAGAAGTGCAAACACTGCATTAATGATGTGCTATGTATTAGTCCAGTCGCATCAGAATTTCAGATGCTAATTCTGATGCTGCGCATAGAAAAGAGAGCGATGAAAGTTTGACAGTTGTAAGAATGATAAAATTGTTAGTATTGTAATAAAACAACCTGCTGTTTATCTTCATTTTAGCTGTTGATCAGAAAATTAGTCAGCAACTGTTTCAGTTATCTTTTATTTTTCAAGCAAAAGTGCGCAAAATGTGATGATTCGTGAGGATTTGCTTCCGTCTCTCTTCAGATTGTGGTAAACTGGATGTGTTTGGACTTAAACAATCAGAAAATCCGATTGGCATCACTTTAGGGCTGCAGAAAAATATGATGGGCATTGACCCGTGTTTTCTGATGTTTACAGATCAAACAATTAATAGATAAATTAAGAAAAGTACTGACAAATAATGGAAATAATCGTTTTGTGTATAAAATATTCTTTAATTTCTAATCAATCATTAGAATATAGGTCAAGTCATTTATGTACATTTGTATTTACTAGATTCACAATCTGTGAACAAATATTTAGAAAGAATATGGCTAACAGAAAATTGATAATACAGATATTTTGGAGAAAAGCGGCCTGTTTTTATTTTTATTGTAAATGTAATATATTGATTCACTGAGTAATAGATTGTTCTATAAAATGCCAGAAGGTAGTGCAAATAGTGCATCCAGGTTGATGTATTCAGATTGCTTGTTTTGTCTGAGCATCAGTCCAAAAATAAAATTGTTTCCAGAATAAAAATTGTTATGGTTCCAGCATTTGGATAAACAGCTGGAAGAAATGTGGTATTATATGATGAGAACCAAAAGTCCAGCAGAGGGGAGGAAAACTGTAGCTGCTTCTATCCATAAAAACAAAAATCTGGTGAAATATTATGAAGTCAGCAGGTTGCACCTGAAACATTGTGCTAATTAATTAAGTAGTTCAGCAGAAAATTAATCATTTCCCTATAAAGACTGCTTTTAAATTCTCTCCTGCATAGCACCGGAGTCACAGCACCCATGTCAGTGCTCCTCCTAGTGTTCTCCGTAGCTCTGTGGTATGAAAGGCTGATGCTGATGCTGCTCGGCGCCCCCAGTCACTGCCCTGGAGGCTCTGAATAAGGTGAAGGAAGCAAGACTCATCTGCATGGCTGATCGAGCTCATACCACTTTACAGGCTTTATCGTGGACCTGAAAATGCATAGCTGAGGAAGTCAGGGGTGATGATTCGGGGTGGGGGGGGGTTATTTACAGTAGTACAGTAAGCCTGATCCAAATTCTGCCCATTCATTCAGCTAATGTATGTCTTCCGTTTGCAGTGAATGGAAGATAAAATGGTTAGGTGGAGATGAGAGGGTGGAACAAAAGGGATAAAGGGAAGAAAGACTTGATTAATAAGGTTGGCTGTATGGAGGAATGGCTGGGTGGTTGTATATAGGAGTGAACTAACCTGGTTACACAGTTTCTACTATCGGTAAACTTAAGGCTTTGTTTGACCTGGTTTCCATGACACCAACTACAAACCCAGAAGTGTAGCCACCTACCAAACAATTATATGACTAGAACAGATTTATGCTGGAAAAGAATAGAAGTGAACTTGAACAAAACTGGCGTGCTGTTAAATATTCAGATAAATGATTTTGTTTGTTTGGTTTTTCAGTAGTTGGAACTGGAATGGTCACATATGTGTTCATTACACTCTTGATATCAGAGCAGACAAAAGAACTCCATGTTGCAAATAAAAGCAAAATAAATGAATAAACCATAAACATGGTAGAAGAATATGCATGTATAGTAAAATACTCAGTAATGTGACATAGAAACCGAAGGTGACATGGAGGTGTGTAAGAATATCAGATCTTGGCACAATGTGGAATTTGAAGTCATTGTGATATGTTTAGGATGCAAAAAGCTTTCAAACATCTTCATTGTCAGTCTCCTCTCACCGTAATTTGACACACCTGCCAGCCCATTACCTGTTGTTTCAAGTATTCAATGAATATGCACAGTGCTGTGCAATTATATAAAACCCATGGGCAAATTATAGACATATGGTTCTTCATCTAATGGTCTTGAGTGTTTTGATACATGATAATTGTCAGTTACAGATTAACATGATATTACCAATCTCAGAGAAAAATGCGGATTTGTATGATGAGAGGAGGGGCTAGATAATAGGCTCTTTAGAGGATCAGTGTGTGTGTGACAGAACACTATTGTAACATCAGCCATGAGGCCCTGTGATGATCCTTATAATGACATCCTGAGGAGCTCTTTCAAATGAAATCGTCCCTGTGTAACTGGTGCCCCAGGAGCCCTGGCATGTGTTGAAGGAAGACAGGCAGAGTGGAGTGCAAAGAGACACTTTGAGGTAGGTGGAGGAGGGCGGATGGGAAGGGGGGTGGGGGGCTGCTGCACAGATTTGTTGAGGAGACAGGAGATGGTCAAAGGAACTTGGGGCAGGGGTCACAGGAGGGATGGAGCAACAATGCAAAGGGGGGATATTGGTAGGGGGTCAGGTGCTCAGATCAGGCTCCTAACATCATCCTAGTGCCTCCAGTAGGGCTTATTAAACACCTGAGACACAAGCACCTCCCCCAAGACTACACCCTCTCCATACAGGTTGCTAGTGTGCCACCCTCAGGTGGGAGCAGTTCAAAGAAGAGGCGGGCGTCTGGGGGAGAAGTGACATCAAGAAGAACATTATCATTACAAACTTCTCCATTGCATCATCTGACCCAATCTCATCAAATTATTGAAGCACCATTCGCTGTTTAGTCACACACTACAAAATGTCTACACTGTGGGGGCGTGCATTCGTACAGTGCAAAGGAAGACTGTATTTGAGTTAGCAAAAATGAAAAAAAAAAGATATTTGTGTGTGCCTGTGTGTTGTGAAACACTGCGAGTGAGCTATGTGATGCTCCCCTCCTGTTGTCTCTGGCTGAACTTTAGACTCTGGACTGAAAGAACAGACACACCAGACGAGGAAGTAGGGAGCAGAGAAGCTAAACACAACCTGTTACTGCACAGTCGGCAGGGAAGGAGGGAGGGAGGGAGGGAGGGAGCACTGGGAGAAAAAACTACTCAAGAAATGGAAGCTCTTCTCTTACTGTTGGTTGAATTAGAGGATATCTCTATAATCAATATGCACCCAGAAAAACACACGTGTTTGACAGGATGTGAATTTAAAGAATGAAATCCAAGATGTGAAGTTGCTGTGAGAAAACTGAGACTGAAGCATCAACTTGAAAACTTACTGTTGACAAAAAGATACCATCAAAAGCAGAACAAGCACAAAAAATCCTAATAGCAAATAGTATCAGTGCCCTTCTTAAATTAATTACATCAAAAACACTAACCAATTACAGCTCAGAGATTTTAAAAAGTTAAACCTCTTTTAGTGCCCATATAAAAATTATATTAGTCTCAGTAATAGCCGTCATCATCGTCACCTTTAAAGATGAAATAATAATTTGAGTTGTGGTTCAGTAACTGTTTAAAAACCCAGAATTGATGAATATGCAAATATTATTAATTTCCAGAGATGTACGAGAACTTTCTCATCACAGTTGTGTCAGTTGCATATTGTCCAAAATTGGCTGCCAAACTAGTTGTGATCTCTTAAACTGAGATTTAAAGTGAGAACAGAAAAATGCCCCTCATTCAGAAAATGAATGTGACGACAGCCTTCTAGTGTCAAACTGTGCATCATTTAGCATAGCGAAGGTCAAAGACTCAACTGAAGTAGCAGCAAAAGGGAACTTCAACAGTCTCGTCAGGGAGTGAAAGAGTGCACGAATGAATGCAATCTGCTGTACTTCAGCTGCTGTACAGCTTCTGCTGCACCCTTCACTTATAAACACATATTTATTTATTAAGTTTATTATCTTTGCCTTGACTTGTTTTTCAATTTGAGAGGGGGCCATTTTTTTATATGATACAGTACTTTGGTGACTTTGTAGTAATTTGGTGTAATTTTGATTACCAGTATTTGTTTCAACAAATTGTTGGATTTCCATGGTGAATGGTGGCAAATGAGGGGTTTGGACATTGAAGCAGCTGCAGTGCATATAACTCCAGAGTGGGAGCAGTACTGTTTCACATCAGTGTGTGGCTGATCTCAGGTTTATGCCTGCACTGAGAGCTCATGTAAGAAGTTTCCAAGCTCTTAAATGCATTGGTCTTTCTTAAATCACACAATATTCTGCTACATGGATATTATATTAATGAAGAGTGGTGAAGAGCCCACTCAAGAGTAAATTATTGATTCATATACGCATTTATACATCTATTGATTCATGTGCATGTGTCATTAACATATAGATTTTTCACTATGTACTACTACACTAAATTAAGAGATGATGCAGTAGAGTAGAAGCCAAGAATACAGTAAGTTAGTGAAAAATGTAAAAGACAAAGAAGAGAAAAATGACAACCAGCAATGAGAAAAAAAAAAACATTTAAATGAACAACAAAATGGAGACGAAAACAGAATGACCGTGAGAAACTCAAAGAAAGGTAGCACAGAGAAATGAAGCATTAGGACAGCTGCTTGCTCAAAGGCCTTCCCCCGGTCTAGCAGCTATGCATGCATGTGTGTGTGTGTGTGTGTTTGTCCAGGCGTCAGTACACCTGCACAGACTGAGTGGGTTGGTTCAGTGGGCTGGCGTGGAGTTCCATGGATCCCCCTCCAGGCCAGCTCTCTG